TGAAGTGGAGATAGCGATGATGAGTTCGCGAGATAACATGGGCGCCGCCGAACGGACGGCGTCTGGACGAGATATGCGCAGCAACCGAGAGGATATATATATATATATATATATATCTGCATTTATGTTGAGCCGGGCCCGCGCGCGCGGAAAGTTGACGGGGGTGCGCGAGACAGCGCAGGACCCATAAAGGGGGTAGAATTCGGATCCGCCGGGAAGACGGGACTGAGCGCGGATCTAGAAAATCCAATCGGATCCATGCGGACGGCAGCTTCATCCACCGAAACAGAAACCAGCACCAAAGTTGTATCCGCGCGAGCTTCATTGGATCCGACGGTGGTTATCTCAGGTGCGTCTGCTCAAGACTTCAAACCGTCGTCCTTGGGCTAAGGGGAAAAACGCTCGTCCTTGGGATGTCTACCCCGTATTTGATTGCATCTAGGCGTGTATGTATATATTTGTGTATGCATACCAATGCGTTTGTATATAGCCAGATGTCCATCCATCTTCACTTCTATCCACCCATCCGTACATAACGATTAGTTGTTCTACCTACTTATCCGTCCACCTAGGTATCGGTCCGGCCATGGATGCACAATTATGTTATATCTGTCGGTCTAAGTACATGCACGTATATACATATATGCACCTGTTTATGAGCACATCTGGTGTTGTCAATACTTATATATATACGGATAGAGTTGTTTATACACATATACATACATATATATACACAAGACTGCACTGGCGCTTCGCGCCATGCACCTTGGTCCTTGAAGATTGGTATGCAGGCGGAAATGGCAGGAAGGTCAAGCGGACAATTTTGCGATAACTCATCGCTGCCTTTTCTGGCATCGCCGTTATAATAATGTTGTTCGTTATCCCTCCTCCATGCTTTTTTTCCTCATTATCGCCATACCCTGGGTGTTCTCCCCATCCTCCTCAGCTCTTTTTGCGGAGGCTCCTCCTTAGAAAGCCTCTGGGGGCCTCACCAAAGTTCTCAGGCTTTTTTAGAGCCTTCTGGAGGCCTCCTGGGCGTGTTCTGGGGGCCTCTGGGGCTTCCTAAGGCTAACCTGCCTCTAACCGCAGTCTCCCTGAACGCCCCAGTCACGCTTTGGAATGCTTCGGAGGGCGTCTTGGGGCCATCTTGGGCCGCCATGGGGCTCTCTTAGGGCCATTTTGGATCCCTGTTGTGCAGTTCTGGGGCTCTCTTGGACTGCCTGGAAGCCCTTTCGGATGGTTGCGGGGCGATTTTGGAGCCTCCCAGGCGACTTCGGACGCCCAGAAGACCGCTGTCTTGTAGCGTCGGGAAGCCGAAAAGAGGATAACCCGAAATTCACCAAAATCCTGCATTACATCGATGATTATTCCCTCTTGGGGCCTTCTTGGGGGTGCTCTTGGAGGCCTCTTGGTACGTTTTGGAGCGATCTTTCGGGGTATGACGGCTTCTTGGGGCGCTCTTGTGTTGTCTTGGGGTTCTCTGGGACGTCTCCGATGACCCCCCTGAACGCCCTAAGTGTGCTGCGAAGGCTTGGCAAAACGCCCTGCGAAGCCCGGGGGGCCGCTTCGAGGCCCGTCCGAAGGGTCCCAAAGCCCCAGATCCCAGGAGTCCGGTTTTTTTTTGGGGGGGGGACGGGTTTTCCCCCCGCCTGGGCTTGTAAAAATATAGGAAGAGGAATATGCCCATCTGCCGACCTATCAATCTGGCGTCACATCGGCACCTTCGTCGTGCTTCCCTCCGCCTTCAGATGCCCATGCGCGCGCATCGGCATCGGGGGACAACCAACACATGGAAACATGGTCCAGCATCGCGACGCGAGCCTGTCCTTGGAAGAGAAACGAACGCCAACAGTAAGACTCCCGCGACGCCGCAGATATGGTAGCAGCGCGGCGCCTGCGGTGTTCTCAATGTTGGGGCGTGGGGTTCCGACTGAAGATTTAGGTTTGCACGAACGAGCCGGCGAACACCACACAACAGCACGCATTCTACCTCGAGCCACGATTGCGGTTTGCATTTGTTGTTGAAACAACAATTGAAGAGTGCCCCGACGCAGCTGATTTGGAAATGTCCGGATCAGTTCAAGGTTTCCAATGTTGGGGGATGTTGCCATGTATCATGTTCAGAGCTGCGGTGGCGATGGCTGATGCTGAATCCCTTTCGGTCGTTCAATGTTTAGGGCCAGGCGTCGAGCCATCATATTGTTGTTGTTGTTTTCTGAGGGTCGTTCGAATGTCGAGAACCGCGGGGCAACACATCATGTGCCTATGTGGTTCCGTTATGTCCAGGGCCGCGGGCCCATTATGTGTGTCGAACAACGTGGTCAGGATTGGTGGTCGAACAACATTTTTCGACTGCGTTCACTGTTCATGGCTGCTGGGCGAAACATCGTGCTGCTTGTGTTGCGCTGTCCTTCTTACAGGGCTTTGGGGCATCGGACATATCGATATAATTGATTGCCCATCATTCAGAATGCTGCGCAGCGTCGCCTAATTCATGTTCCAGTATGTTTTAGCTGGCAGCAAAACCATAAACAGGCGTTAGCAGGTATTTTCTTCATTTCCGCTCCAGCGAATTCAACTTTGGTTGGGGTTTGGTTTACCTCGGTTCAACTGCACCAACTCATTTTCAACAACCTAAGGATATGTGGGCATTGCATAGTGATCGGTCGCGACTCATGTAATATTCCTACTAGTTCGGTGCTCTTATAATCAGTTCGGCGCTCGTATAAATAGTTCGGCGCTATTATAAGCAATTCGGTGATTTCAGGGGCGTGCACGGCGCTCTTATAATTTTTTGTCTCTTGCAGCGCGCTGATTCAACTACATTTCGATTTTCGTCTAAGCAGAGGGCCCTGACACACTGGCGGCGGGCCTGCGGGCAGAGGCGGGTGGAAGGTGCCGGAGACAACGAAAGAGAACAGTGGCGATGGCGCGGGCATTTGCGCGTGAGGCTCTCGCGTGAGATCGCGCGCAAGGTCAGCATCGTTGAACCGATCCCCACCCCATTGGGCCATGGCATCTCAGCCCCGTCGCCTCACACACCCCACGTGCGGAGGAGCAGGCACGCATCCCTGCCTGATTCCTCGGTCGGTAACACGACCAGTGAGGCCAAAGCCACGACGGTAGGGACGGGGATCGGTTAAACGATGCTCATAATCACCTCCTTTTTCACGCGGTGTGCCACGCTAGCGGCCCGCGTGAGCCGCAGCGTTAAGGTGGCTGTATCTTCTTTCGTGAGATCAGCGTTTTTGTCGTCGTCCAACCGTTTTGATGCAGGCTCTCGGAAGTCCTGCCTGCTGAGCTGGACGCGCTGTCGGTCTCCTTGCGAGCGGTGCCTTGTGTTCGCGAAGGGTGGCGCCTGCCCAGAAGCGGCCACTGTCTGTCTGTCACAACATGTGCCGCAGGTCGTAAAACCCCCGCCCTCGATTTGCCCTGCTGCGTTTGTCGAGAGCGCGGACCCGTTACGCCCGCTCGGTCTGGTCCGGGTCGCTTTCACGGAAGGGTGATCGGCGAAAAGGGGGACCTTGTCTTCCCTAGAATTTGCCGGCCGGCACCGCTCCCAGTGGTATAATTGGACGGGATCGGAAGCATGAGTATCGTCCCGAGGAGGAGAAGGAGGAGGAGGAGGAGGAAGAGCAGGAGGAGGAGAGGGAGGACGAGGAGGAGGAGGAGGAGGAGGAGGAGGAGGAGGCGGAGCAGGAGAAGGAGAAAGGGGGAGGAGGAGATGGGGGAGGAGGAGGAGGAGGAGGAGGAGGAGGAGGAGGAGGAGGAGGAGGACGACGACGACGAGTTTGGGCGTCCAAGGGCCTCGCTTCTTTACCGCGCATCCTTGTGGCCACGGCGCTAATCTAGGGACTTCTGCGTTCTAGAGCCTGCCACGTACAGATGTCTCATTCGCTCGTGGAGGTTGGGGTGCAACGTGTGCTATGCCTATGCTTCGCGTGCGGTTGCGCGTGCTGTCCTGTCTGGCGTTGGCTTTCAACTCAAACGTTAACGTTTCGCGTGCGTCTTCGCATGCGGTCACTACCGAACACTAGTCCGACTTTACTCGATTGTTCATGTGTATGCCTTCCTCCTTGCTTGCCTGGTTGCGTTCATTCTCGGGTCCTTGCTCGATTTTGTGATTTTTGTTCACGTTTGTGTGCGTCGCTGTCTCACTTGCGTGCGTACTTGCGTGATTTCTTTGTTTCGTGTCTGATCATTGACTTGCTCTCTCGGGGGGATTGCTAACTTCTTTGTGTGCGTGATTGCTCACTTGCGTGTTCTTGGTTGCGTGCTTGCCCGTGTGCTTGCTTGATGAGATGTTAGCTTGCCGGCTCGCTTGTTTGTGTGATTACTCCTGCACGCGCACGCAGGGATATGCAGTGAGCGTGAAGGTTTGGGCCCCCTCCAGGGCTCCTCATTGGGCCGACACTGGCGTGTTCCCCCGAAGCACGAACCGCAGCATCCCCAGTACTGCCGAATTCGATAGACTATCGGCAGCGTCCACATGTACCCCTGCTTCTGTACATGCTGTGGTTGTCATGCCCATGTCAGCCTCTCCTCCTGCTTCGCCTCTGTCCCACCTCCCTTGTGTGCCGCCGTTGTGGCTCACAAGGGCCCTTGATTCACCTGGCGCGCAGGCGACGGGCGCGCCCTGGCCCCCGTAAAAGGAAAGAGAACGTGCTCTCTTATAGCACGGGTCCCCGTACTTGGTTTTCGTGTCTCTCTGTATTCCTTACAGGTGCCCCCGTACATTCCACACATGCTATTATTTTGTCCATGACCATAGCGCTGTCCCGCCAGTATCTGCTAGGAGGCACGCGTCGTATATGCCACGACATGATATGTTGGGTCGGCGTGTGATGTGATAGGTATCTGACCCTGTGGTTCAAATTGTCTGGCAAGGCTCAGATCGGGCGATCCTGTCACAGTTCCGTGCCAGTTGCAACAAGGGGGTGCGTTGTAAGTTATATTTTCAGGATGTTCCTGCGCGGTGTCTGCATCTGCCACCAGATCCAATGATCAAAGTGGATGTCTCACAAGATCTGCCAGGCGTCGTGGACATCCAGAAGGAGGCTCACCCAAGACGATTGTCGCGCCAGAGATGGCTGATGCTATCGATCCTCTGCTTGGATATATGTGTCAGTTACCTCCCGTATTACACCTTTGTGCCGATTCTCCGCCAGAGCATGCAGGTCTATGGGGCGGATGAGGCAGCCCTGAATTGGCTCTGCATTATGTACGCTTTGGTTTATATCCCAGGGGCTTTCCTGACAGGCCCCATCGTTGGCAAGATCGGCTGCCGCTGGACGTTCATCGTGTCGATGGCGTTGAATGTCGCTGGCTGCGTCGTCCGCTGTGGCCCGCAGTACGTGACGAGCTTCCTCGAGGCGTCGGCGCTCCTGCACCCTCTCAACGAGACCTCCAGGCCCCCAGGGATCGACAACGGCAGCCTGCCTGGCGAGCCTGGCGGCGTGCCGGGGCCGCCGCTGGTGCCGGCGGTGATGCCGTACGCCTGGCTGCTGATCGGGCAGGCGTTGTGCGCGATGGGGCAGCCGTTGCTGGTGAACACCACCTCGGAGATGGGGGCGGAGTGGTTCCCGCCACACGAGCGCCCGACGGCCGCCATGGTCTCGAACCTGATGAATTTCGTAGGCAGCTCGCTGTCCTTCATGCTCCCGACGCTGCTGGTTGAGGATCACCCCGACAGCCTGGAGGCGGCCGAGCGCGAGATGACGCGGCTCATGCAGGCCCAGCTCGGCATCGCCTTCTTTTCCATGGTGATCACGGCGGTCCTGTACCGAGATCCTCCCATGCGGAGCGCCGCGTGTCTCGAGAGGCTCGGCGTGCCGTTCCACAGGGAGATGTTGGCGATGCTGAGCCTGCGCGATTTCTGGGTCGTCAACGGGCAGTTCGCGGTGTACGTCGCACTGGGCCACGCCTTTGACGCCGTCGAGGGTACCCTTCTGGAGCATTACGGCTACAGCGCGTCGGTTGCATCTTGGACGGCTCTCGCTTGCGGGATCACCTCCATTCTGAGCACGCTGCTGGAGGCCAAGTACATCGACAGCCCCACCATGTACAGGGGCGCCCTCATCGCCGCCAACGGCTGCATCGGCGCCTCTCTGCTGATAGGATTTCTCTGCCTGCACTTCCGGATGAGCGAGGGGTGGTTCATATTCGCGCTTGGCGTGTTCGGGCTCGCCACTCCTGGGTGGGGCTGCAGCTGCGAGCTGAGTGCGGAGGTCTGCTACCCTGCGCGTGAGGCGACGGTGAGCTCGGTCATGGAGGCATTTGGGAACATGCTCGGCGTCTTCGGGATCATGATCACGCAGGTCCTCATCGATGCCGGCTACGGAGCCAAAGTGCTGTTGCTGATGGCCGCCTCGGCGGGCGTCGGGGCCACCATGCTCCTCGGTCTGAGCGGGCGGCTGTGGCGGTTCGAGGCCGAGGCCGAAGCTGAGGAGGGTGCGCATGCAGTCCGGGACGATCGGGTGGCGACGCCGCAGCAGGCTCGAGAGATCTTGTGCGACGTGTCGAAGCAGAGGCGCATCAGGGCCATCCCCCCGCGCTGCCAGCAGGTGATGGCCTACGCGAGCAGCAAAGCCTGCTTCGCCTTGCCCGAGCCAGTGGCGAGGTTCCTGGGCGGCAGGACCGTGTTCGTCGTCGCCACGAGCGTGGTCCTCTGCATCCTCCCGCTGTTCCGGTTCAGCCACAGCTTTTACCAGCCGGATCTGCGAGAGTTCACCAGGGTAGAGGACCCTGGGCTCTCGGTTACCTTCGCGCAGAATGCCTCGGGACCGGTGCAACTGAATGTCCAGGGCAACAGCAGCACGGCCGGGCACGATGGAGCGGGCATTATCTTTGAGAATGGGCTGCACGAGCCCGTCAACGTTGTGATCCACTGTGCCCAGGACTCCAAGAGGCTGGAGCGTTTCGCCAAGCACATGGCAGAGGCCAACCTCTCCTTCCACGTCTTCGAGTGCTTCACCGGCAGTGAGCGGGAAGTCTCCGCCGCTGTGCACGCCCACCTCCTGCCTCCGTCCGCGCTCGGCGCCGTGGGCGGCGTGACCCACGCGGGGCTGGCCCGGCAGGAGCTCATCGGCACCGCCATCTCCCACCTGAGGCTCATGAAGAGCATCAGCCGGACGAGCGAGTGGAGAACTGTCAACGTGTTCGAGGACACCGAGGTCGTCTTTGCGGACTTCCGCAGGAAGCGCAATGCGCTCCTTGCTCAGCTTCCGCGCGGCACGGACTTCGTGAACCTGAACACGCTGCGGCCTGCTGGCGACCGTGCCTTCGGCTCTGGAAAGAGCAGCGTGCTGCAGCACAAGAGCTCGCACTGGATGGGCAAGCACGTGTTCCGCCTGAGGCAGGGCCTCTCCCCGTTCACGAACGGATGGCTGGGCAACTACGTCGTGACGAAGAGGGGCGTCAAGAGGATGATGTCGCAGGGTTCTACCTACGACACGTTCGGCAAGTGGCAGGTGTTCGAGCAGCACGTGTTCGCCCAGTTCTACGAGGCGCCGCACATGGCCGGCTTCGTCGGCTTCTCGGTGTCGGCGGGCGTGTTGTCGGTACGCTGCGAGTCGCGGCACGGCCATCGTGGTGCCAGGGTCGCGCACATGTGCAAGCTGCCCTGACGGCCACCGGCCCAGCCTGGCAGCGCCCAGGTGGCGCGCCCGAAGGGCACGCTTCGGACCAGCTGGCGCGGAGGCGTGGCCGCCCAGGGCCCCACTGGTGCCGCTGGCTCCTCGGGCCTCAGCCGCCCGCTTCCGGGCTCGAGGCCCTGGGCGCGAGTGCCAGGAGAGCTCAGGCGGTGCTTGTCGTCAAGCAGTGGCGGAGCGTCCTGGCTCGCCTATAGGCCCACCCAAGAATGACTTTCCAAGAACCTTTTGTGGTCTGCACGACATGTTCTCAGAACAGGTCTGGCCGGGGCCGCCTTGCCTTGGCACATCGGCTGCATGCTCTGAGAGCATTGTTTGGGTTCTTGGAACATTCTGGGGTTCGAAGAGCAGTTCGTGGTAGGCCCATAGGGATGCCGGGACGGTCGGTCCCTGCTCAATGTCGGGCAGAGCCAGGGCGTCGCTTCTCCGAGCTGCTGGCGAGCCGCGGGCGCTCGGCGGGGCTGGCGCTTTCTGGTGCCTCTGCGTGGCCTCTGGCGCTCCAGGCGTCCCAGGTTGGGGTCCGACCCCCTGGGAGGCGGACCCCTTCCTCCTCCGCCTCCTCCTCCTCCTCCTCCTCCTCCTTCTCCTCCTCCTCCTCCTCCTCCTCCTCCTCCTCCTGCCCCTCCTCCTCCTCCTCCTCCTCCTCTCCTCCTCCTTCTCCTCCTCCTCCTCCTCCTCCTTCTCCTCCTCCTCCTCCTCCTCCTCCTGCCCCTCCTCCTCCTCCTTCTCGGCCTCCTCGGACCCCACCCCTGGGAGGCCCCAGGCACGGAGGCGGGAGCTCGAGACGGGGAGCGGCGGGCTGGGGGAACCAGCGCCGGCACCGAGCTGCACTGAGCTGGAGTTGGGGGGAACGCAGCCCAGCAGACGGGGCGGCCGGCGGGGGGCGCAACACAAGCGAGTCAGAGACCCGACCCAGCGAGCCAGAAGGCGTGGTCCTGGGGAAGAGCCAGAGCGCCGAGACCTGGGGGCCCACGAAGCGCGGCAGGAGGCGAGAGGCAGAAGCGGCCAGGCACGAGAGCGCCCGAACTGGGGATGGGGGCAATATTTGTATCCACATCCACTGCGTCTTCGAATTTCGGGCCCCCTTCCCCCCAAAAAACACAAGCGCATGCTGGATATGGACAGAGCTCTGACCCCTGGAGGCTCGATGCTGGTCCATGTCAGCTGCGCCTCGGCCTCTTGGCGCCCCTTCCTAGGAAGTACAGGGCGCAGTGGATATGGGCACCGTTAAATCGGGCCTGTCCCTCTACAGCAGGGGAATATTCAAACATTGTCAAAAATAGTCAGGGGAGATTCCTTAATTACTCATGAATATCCAGGAATACTGCTTGATTGTTTCAAGCCCCAGTGCGGCCCCGCCTCGGCCCCGCCTCGGCGCGAAAAGCGCGCGCGTGCTGCCTCGGCGGTGGGGCTCCCGGGGGGAGGGGCGAGGCGGCCGCGGGCGCGCGCCCTCGGCCCTAGCGGCCCGCTGGCCGCGGCGAGATCTCCTGGCGGGCTGGGCGTGAGCTCCGGGGGCTGGAGGAAAAATCGAGCCACGAGGCAGGCCCAGAGATCCAACGCATTGACAAAAATTAGCCTGGCGAAGGACCCAACCATATGCAGTTGTGAGTACCGCAAACATGAATATCGTTTGTGGTGGCGCTACCTCTGGGTGGGGGGACCGCATGTGGACACCCCCACTGGGGCCTTCGGTGGAGCTCCCTATGGGGCTACGAAGCGCTGCCCTGGGTGGGGGAGCCGCATGTGGACACCCCCACTGGGGCCTTCGGTGGAGCTCCCTATGGGGCTACGAAGCGCTGCCCTGGGTGGGGGAGCCGCATGTGGACACCCCTACTGGGGCCTTCGGTGGAGCTCCCTATGGGGCTACGAAGCGCTGCCCTGGGTGGGGGGACCGCATGTGGACAACCCCCACTGGGGCCTTCGGTGGAGCTCCCTATGGGGCTACGAAACGTGTGAGTGCCGAGAGCAAAGGCAAGGAGGGGGAGGAGGGAGGACGGGGAGGAGGAAGGAAGGAAGGAAGGAAGGAAGGAAGGAAGGAAGGACGGAAGGAGGGAGGGACGCGGGGCACCGTCTCTTCAAAACGAGGACCCAACACCACAGGATGGTTGGGAATCAAGGCGGAGGCTTTTCGCCAAACTCGGCCTCCATAGAGGCCCTCGCCAGGCCGCGGGGCCGTCAGAAAAAGGCTCAGGATGCAAAACGTGTCCCGGGGAATGGGCCGAGACTTCCGGGGACCGCGCATGGGACAAATCACGACATCGGATCTCTGGGAGCGCAGATTCTCCCCTCCAGAACAGCAGCAGCGCCGAAACGTGGGCAGCCGCCTGCGCCGCAGCAACCTGCCTCCCCGAGCCCAGCGCACGCCCGACTGCCCCCGCCGCCGCACCCGTAGTAAGTGGAGCGTACGGAGGGCGGGCAAACCCATGAATTTTCGGAGGTCCGCGCGGAACTTCTCGGATCGGCGCTGGAGCCCCCTCTGGCGGCGCCTCCAGCGCCGCCCCCAGCGCGGTCCGCACGCCAGGGAGGGTGGTCCAGCGGGCGGGCTGGGCGTGAGTACGGTCGGGAGCTTTGGCTCAGCGTGTCGCGCAGCCAGTTCTGGTCCACCACGCTTCGGCGCGGCGCGCTACTCACGTCCCAATTCCCAGGCATCAGCGTTCCGAGACATTTCCAGCCTCCCGCCCCGCGGAACGGAGCGACACGCCATCCACTCGCAAGGCATAGCATGTCGCCGGGGTCGCCGCCGCGAGATGCTTTGCAACAATTCCTGACCGTCGCCTAGCCATCCGACGTCATGGTTTTCTCAACCGTTAGTTTTTTCGTCGAGGTCGGCCCTTCTGAGGGGTCGTTTTCGGCCCCCAGGGCGATCAAGCGTGAATCTGGAACGAAAAATACCCCAGGGAAGGGGTCGTCACTTTCAGGGGGACGCGCGTCGATACAAACACATCGCAGGATGTCTCGAACACAAAGGGTGGGCGCCGACCAACCCACCTTACCAATCCTGGCTGGGCCTATCCTGTGACCAGAATCGGTGCACGCCTCCCTGGTTTGCCCGTTTTGGCATGTCTAGTGACCCTGGGCATCGGATCGGCCTGGTCAGGATCCAGGAGTGGGGACAGCTGGTGCCCCCCGAGCACAGGCCGGGGCTCCTTCTCCTCCTCCTCCTCCTCCTCCTCCTCCTCCTCCTCCTCTTCCTCCTTCTCCTCCTGCTCCTCCTCCTCCTCCTCCTCCTCCTCCTCCTCCTCCTCCTCCTCCTCCTCCTCCTCCTCCTCCTCCTCCTCCTCCCCCTCCCTCGTCTCTTCCTCATGCCTCCTTACTCCCCCTCCTCTTCTCCAGCCGTGGCGAAGCGTCCAAGCTCGCCTATAGGCCTACCAAAGAATGTTCAAATGACCTATTGTGGTCTGCACGGAATATTATTAGAACATGTTTGACTGAGACTTTTCTGTTTTACCACATCGGGCTTATGTTCCAAGAACAGTGTTTTTGCTGTTCAAACGTTTTTGGGGTCCACTGGCATGTCGCGGTAGACTTGTAGGAATGCCAGGACGGTCGGTCGCTGCTCAATCCTTCCCCTCCTCGTCCTGCTCCTCCCTCCCTCCCTCACTCCCTCCACCCTCCCCCTCCTCCTCCCCTCTGATTTCTCTTGGTCCGCCTTCCTCCGACTGTCGACAAAGCGCTCGCTCCGCCCTGCCCCGAAGGGTCGCAGGATGACTCCACGGATGCCCCCTCCCAGAAAGCCCCAAGAGCCTCGCATACGCAAACACGAACTCGGCGCGACATCAGCTTCGAGCCATCTGTGAGAGCACACCAGAGACAAGCACGAAGATGACGCCAGCGCCTGGATCCAGCATCACCGAATGGTGAGACCCAACGAGGTGGGACCCTAGCAGAAACTGTCAGGCGGGACCTTTTCGTGTCGGACCGGTCGCCAGGTGGGACTCCATCGGTCGGGCCCCATCGAGAAGCACCGAATTGGGTGGGATATCCCCGGGTGCAACCCTATGGGCGGGGCCTGATCGGATCGGACCTTACCGGGTGGGACGCTATCCCGGGCAGGGCCTTGTCGGATGGAAACCTTTTCGGGTGGGACCCTATCTCGTGGGACCCTATCGGGTGGAACATGCGCCCACGATTTTCTGAGTTCGTGACCCCGACCGCCCAAGATTTGCCCGCGACTTGAACGTGGTAGCTCCCTTCGCAGAGCCCCCAGGGGCCGCCCGGCTTGTACACGCAACGAAGCAGGAGCCATACATTCTAGCACGCATTTGGCCGGTTGGGCCGGCGAGTTTGCTTTATACTGCGTTACTCTGAATTTCTTGTTTCCCTCTGAATGAGTACTTGTCTATGCGTTGTGTTTTGCCGAGCTGCATTGCATCATCGTCCTGTTTTGCAGTAGTCGAATTCCTCCACGCTGGACTGCATTCGCATTGCATCCTCTTGATTTTGAAAAGGGGTGGGTCCTCGAGCAATGGGGGCGTGCATTCACGACAATCCGTGTTGGGGGGGTCAGGAGGGCTGCTACTGCGCCGAATAGGTCAGGACCTCCAGACGCGGCGTTTGCGTCGCGGCGCCGAGGCTCTCCGCAATATTACCCCCAGCATGCGTGTGGCAGGATCCTTGGGCCTCGGGGCCTTTTCAGGGAGTTGGCAGACTGCGGGAGACAGGACGCTGCACGCTCGAGCGTGGCCGCCATGCGGCCGCCAGCTGCGATGAAGATGGTGATGAAGAAGATTATGATGATGATGCTGATGATGATGATGCTGATGGTGATGATGGTGATGATGACGCTGCCGATGACGATGGCGATGAGGATAAGGATGAGGATTGTGAGGATGATGGGGATGATGAGGATGATGAGGACGATGAGGATGAGGATGAGGACGAGGAGGATTATGAGGATGATGAGGACGATGACGATGACGATGAGCATGATGATGAGGACGATGAGGACGATGACGACGGCGATGATGATACTGACA